CTCTCTGATACCTTGGAACCCAACCATTTTAGCCACAGCAAAAGCCACATTCCACCACCACGCAACAAAGAAAACGCAAGATTGCCAGAGAATGTGTCGCGCAGATGAAATTCACATTGCCTTGGCATTTGCGTGAGCATTGCTTTTTAAGGTCTCGCAAGCCAGTCATTTGAGCCGCCACACCACCCACACACACCACCTGCCCAGCAAAGGCTGTAACCTATGCCCTTTGCTTGACAAATGCATGGCTGCACAAATCTCACGAGTGGAGTGACTGCACTCTTGAGGGGGCGGATTTGAATGTTTAGATTTTTTAATAAATTGCCAGGCAGGGTTGGGAACATAACAATTTAGCCAAGGCTGGCCAAACTTTTTTAGGCAGAGCCTATGTTGTGTCCCCTCCACATTTATCCAGGTACCCAACCCCAATTTATCCACTTTTGAGCCCAAGCTTGAAGTTAATCGGTGTCCTCGTTGGGTACCCTCACAATTTATCTACCTTCAGGGGGACCCAACCCCGCCTGGTGTAGCCCAAGGAGGATGTCGGACCGTTTGCGGTGCTAGTTGGTTCTTGTTCGGAATATCAGAGTGCACCAATTCAGAAAACTCGCCGCTGACATTTTTCGACGTGGCCAGCAAACCTGCCAGTTGATTTTGCAGTTGTTTGCCCTTGACATACGCATCCCTCGAATGGGGACGGGGATTCCTTGATCTTGGAAGGTTTGAAGTTTTTGCCATTCTTCTCTTGCTTGGTCCGCGAGAGCGCGGAGCAGTACTCCCGTTGATTTGTTTGACTATCTTTCACTATGTTTCACCGGAGATCCCGTTTGGATCATACTGACTGTATCCGCTCACCAGAGCTCCACAGTTATTTGATTTGTTGTTGTTCTTAGTTCTTAGTTTGTTTGTTCTTACTACCTCTTCTTCTTCTTCATCTTCTTCTTCTTCTTGTTTTTTGAACCTAAGAAATAGTATCGGGTGTAAACAGTTATCTTTCCATTTACCTCATTTTACTGGTGCATTTTTCGACCTCTCTCGGTTCGGTGTGAGCTCCATCAGGTGCCGAAGTGGCTCTCAGAGTTGGATGATCTGGGCTTCGTGGACTCGGATACCTACAGGCGGCTACCCTGAGACTTGGAAGGGGCCGAAGAGATATGCACGAATTCGACGGAAGACTTTTTGTTAGAAAATAAACAATCCAGATACACTTGGGAGGATTTGACATGTGAGGTTTAACTGGGGGGATTCTGACCCCAGGTGTTGACTTGTGGACACCTTGTTCCTTTTCTTCCATGCGAGATTGAGAAACAATCGATTTGCCATGAGGCAGTTCATCGATACCGCAGTTGCGAAGGGAAGCTTGGACGAGGCCTTTTCTTTGCTTGGAGAACTCCAAGAACCATCGAAAACCCAAGAATTGTAGCCACTCCAGAGAAGTCCAATAGCCCAACTCAGTGGCACTGCTGACACCGAACACTGGTCGTTGCCGTAAAGCATGCGTAAGCTGTGTGAGGCCAGGACCTGGGCGGAGAAAGCCCGTGCTCAGGGAATGCCTTTGACCGCTCAAGACTTGCAGAGCCTCATCAGTCAGGCTGGATCCGTCCAAAACCGAAGTCTGGTAGGTAGACCTGGTAGACATCATGTGTATGACCAGGCCCTCACAACAAATGATGCAGATGCGGCCAAGTTGTGGTTGGCGTGGGCCTCATGTGGGGTTCCCACCAGTGGGATGAGGTGGATTGATGCTCACCCCAATTGAATTGGATCCTCAATTCGTGGCACTACAAACCCTTAAGAGACAAGAGACTTGTTGGAAGCACATGCGCTGGATCGGGCAACTTGCACGATCTGGAAAGAGTTCAGCTGCAAAACATTTGAACATTTTGAAACATGAAGAAGCGTGAATTGTAAAGGAGAGGCCATGAGGGGTGTTTGGATGTAGGGTGTGTAATGTTCACCGTGTTCAAAGCCCTGTGAACTGTGGATGAAAAGGGGCCGCTGAGCCGTGTTTGGAGTTGTTTAGGGTCCATCAAATTCTGCACCGTCACCATCACGGACATGAGCCACGAACGGCCAAGGAGCAAACTCTATCAACAGAGGAGAGTCCTGGGTGTTTGAGGGTTAGTGTGGGCAACTAGCCCAGCTGTCCTGGCCTGGCCATCGACATTTGTTACTGTAAGACTCGCTGATTCGGGGACAGTCGTCGTTTGAAGCATGGCTTTCCAGTGACTGATCCATGACTCGTGATCCACCATGTTTTGCAAGGAGCTCACAACTCATCAGAAGCAGAAAATTTGCTTCCTAGCTGCTACTTGCCTGCACTTCTGCGGAAGAATGCGGGGTCACCTTTATCGGAATTTCGGACCTCTCCCAGGAAACCGAAAGTGGCGCGACTCGCGCTGGTTGAGGTGGTTTGTGTTTGGAAACACAAGTGGGCCTTTGTCCCCACTCAACAGTGCTTTGGGTGATTTGAGGAAGATCTGATCGTTGTTTCTTTTTGTGGCAATTTGTTTTTGCATATTTCTATTGTGGTAGGTTTTGAATAAATGAGCAAAGAGCTGTGACACTGGTAAAGCTTCCATTAAGGTCCCATGAGTACAGGATAGAATGTAAAGGATGCACAAGGACACCAGGACAGCAAGATGCCTCCTGGCACATGCCTCCTTCCTGCACGCATGTGGCCTCACCCAGCTTTTCTCCCAGGTCTTTCTAGTAGCGAGGAAGATGGGCTTCGGCGTCTTGCACGATCTCTTGTTGAAGGGTGGCGAGGAGCCGAGTCGCTGGCTCCGGAACAAGGCGTGGAGAGTCGTCACAGAGTTCTGCGGAACAAGGCGTCGTATCAAAAGGTGTCTCACAGGCACGGTGAACGTGAAAGACGGAAATAACAAATTAAACAATACATTTATACAGTATATTTATATAATATAATATACGTATATACATTTTTAGATTTTCAAGACATTACATATCTTCTAGGTTTTGGAAGGTGCTGGTAAGAAGCATTCAGGTTGAAGGTGTAGCTTCATGACCAGGCTCGCTGGCTCCTGGAGATTTTGAGGGCAACCCGATCGGACGGACTAGAAGAACTAGGACCGCTGCCGAATGGCCACGTTGTTAGCTTTTCCATTGAACACGGATCCTGCCTTGACTGGCTGAAAAACATGAAAGGCACATGAAAGACTCACGAAAGATGGAACTATGCAGAACTCGTGGAGGGCAATGCCAAGCAGTCAATAGTCTTTTTTTCTAGCAGATTGAAGACAGCCTCTTGCGCATCCCCACCTGCAACATACTTGCAGGACGACGCCTAGACGATGCGTTGCAAGTTGGAGCCCGGAACCTACAGGGTCCTACAGCCCCTGCAACAAGGGAAGAAAAGAAGAGCATTCTCAAGGTCCAAAGGATTCTTAAGGTCAAAAAAAAGGAAGGACACGGACGAAAGACGATCACACCTTTCTCATGTTCTGCCAAATTTTCCTGCAGGTGGAGGCGGACCACAGCGTTTTCAGATACCTGCTCTATGAGGCTCTCAAGGTGGGCATGTGGGTTCCGTGTGTCGAGTTGAAGCATCGAATCAAGCGGGATCCAACACCGCCAACGTGCCAGGTTCCTGACTTCGAGTATGTCACCAAGTGGTTCACAAAGGCGGTGAGACATGGCGTGGTGCCAGAAACTCCCATTGCAACTTGGTTTGAATTTGTCATTGGATGATTTGGATGATTTTGGCGGGATTTCGGCTGCAGGTGCCACTGATGGCCTTACCAGGGAGAGATTCAAACAGAAAATTGACCAGCTTCTCGGGTTTGCAGTTGCACTGAATCATTCACAGTGCGGGTGGTCCTCTGATGGTGGAACATGGTGGAACAACTTTGTTTTAAACTTTAAACAATCATCCTCCCTCAATGCGAACCCCTTGAAGAGCAATGTTTACACTCTGCTTTGTCCTGCTCACATTCGTGAAACAGTCAGGTGAATCACATCATCGGAGAGGCCAGGCTTGGGCAGGTCGAACTTGAAGAACTTGGCACGTCAAGCCGAGACGACAGGGACTTTCAAGGATTTTCCTCTACCAGTTGGGGCACTCCAAATTTGCTTTGGATCTTTGTCCAAGCATGCTTCTCTCAGCATTTCAGGTGGCCAAGATGCAGGGCCTTGCTGCTGCTGAGGACGTCCTCAATTGTGTGGTATGCTGGGCCGTGCGCGAAGACAACACCGAAACAGCCTGCAGGAATGGTTTGAAAAAGCCACGCGCGCCGGAGTGAAGCCCAATGCCCGGAAGCACAGCTGGTGATCTCACAAAAGGAAGGCACGATATAATACTGTACACACAAATGTACAAACGCCCCCGGTTTATAAGATGCACGTTAATGTTTTGATCCCGCAGTGTTTCGGCTTTTCAAGCAGTTGTGGCGGTGCATGAGTTGCACCGCGTGTCACTTCTGGCAAGGCAAGCCGAATATCTGTTCGGGGTGTCGCACCCTGTGCCGGATACAGAATATCTTCCGTGCAGGCGGCTTTCTGAGGAACCAGGAGGACGCTGTGGTGCAACTCTTGAGGACAGCGTGTGGTGCCATTGAGGACCTGAGCGAGATCGCCATCCCTTTGTTGAAAAAGGAACGTGCCGAGGCTAATCCCAAGGGGTTCGATACCTCTCCGGCACCAAGTGGCATCGGGAGCTCGGGTTCAGCTCCTAGTGTGGTGAGCAAGCCGCAGGAGGAGAGCAAGGAGGCTGTTGGTGAGGCCATTCCTGAGGCACCACCAGGTGACTTCGGCGTGAAGGCCAAGGAGGAGCACACGGAGGAGAAAGAGCCGGTCCACACGGTGTCAAAGAGCCCACCTGCACGAGAAGGTACAGCGGAAGCATCAGGTGAAAAGAAGAAGAAGAGGAAGCGCAAGCATACAAGCGGAACAGGCCCTAAGAAAGAGAAGAGTAAAAGAAGGAAGAAGGCAGAGAAGGAGGAGAAGACAACGGACGGTGCTGGAAGCACTGGGTTGAACTTGGATACCATTGCAACTACAAAGGAGGAGAAAGATCAGTTGGTGGCCACTTTACCCCAGCGGTTCAATTTACGTCCAGCTCCCAAGGGCACGGTTGCCGCCATTTCGCACACCACGAGCTGCCACCGCCACCTCCGGCCCCACGGAGGCCAAAGAGTCCAGATCATCCACCGCCCAGTCGTGGCCACGGACGAGGACACTACGATCATCGTTACCAGAGGGAGAGATCCCGTTCCATTGAGCGAAGGCCCCAAAGGCGAAGGGGTTCGAAAGGAGTCAAGCATCGCGAGAGGGGCCGCTACTGGCCCTTCCGTCGTCGGTAGGCACCATGCCACCGAAGGCCAAAGTGAAGGCCAAGGCCAAGGCGAAAGCCCTGGCAAAGGCCAAGGCAGGTGCAATGAGGATTCGGAGACCTTTGAGGGCTCTGGCGAAGGTTGCTCTACGACGCCCCGCAGCTGGCCACCCTGGAGGACCCGCTCCCGCCCCTCAGGAGCGATGGAGGCGTGGAGAGACTATGGGAGCAGGAGAAGTGCCGGTGCTGGAGCTTGCCAAGGAGAGCGAGGTCATCATCCAGGAGGGGTCCTACTTCGGGGGCGCATGTCGCGTCGCCGGGGTGATCAAGGGCCTGGAAGTGGAGAGAGATGCAACCCACATCATCTTGCAGGCAACAGGCACCGATGCCGAGGCGTTGCTTCGACATTGCACCGGACGGCCCTCAGGTTCGCTGAGGGTTCATCTTTGCGGAAGCGACTGCGCAGGAGATCGAGTAGCCGAGGACCTGGTCCATGCAGTGAAACTCCGACAGGCCAAACCCAGGGCGGAGGAGGACCCCTGGACAAGGAACCTGTTGAGCGTGGAAGGAGCGGCCGGAGACGACCTCAAGGACCTGCGGGCCAAGAAGAAGGAGCTCGAGGGCGATGGGAGCAAGAGTCCCGGTCGAAAGAAGAAGGACAAGAAGAGGAGCAGGAGTCGCAGGTCGAAGAAGCGATCAAAGAAGTCCAGAGGACGATCCAGAGGTCACAAGAAGGAGAAGAAGGAAGCTTCGGGACGCGATGGCGCTCCTGCCCGGAGATCCAGCAGCAGCAGCAGCAGCAAGGATGTTCGGTTGGACGGAAGACGTCCGAGAGGAGCCTCGATCAAGACCCCGCAGGCTCTCTTTGCCGGGACAGGCTGGATGGCAAGGAAAAGGTGAGAAGGAGAGTTGCACGCAGGGCTCGAAAGCTGGTTCGGCGGAAGAAGGCCGAGAGGAGCGGGAGCAGCAGCCGCAGCTCCTCGACCGGCAACGACGAGGACCTCGACATCGGCCAGGACGAGGGGTTCTTCGAGAGCGAGACAAAAGTGCAAAAGGTAGCGGAAGCATGCCCCGGAGCGCTCGCCGCCAGATCTATCGTGAGCATGCGAAAGGTCCTGTTGGAGAGTGCTGGGCTGGATGCGGAAGAGCAACTGGTCAGCACCACCGCAGTGAAGTACTTCCGGCAGGAATTGCAGAAGAAAACCTCTGGCCCTGTCAGCAGGGAGTTGGTAACACTGTGCAGCGCTGTCGACCACTTGCTCCGTGGCAGGGCGGCTCAAGCCATGGATTGCATGCTACAGCGAGTCAAGTCGGTGGAGACCACCATTGCGGGATCCCACTGGTCAGTGTCGCAGAGGCTGGAACTTCCCCCTCTAGATATGCAAACTATCGCGCCCAGGGAGGAGATCATCAGCGCTCAGAAGGCAGCTGCGATCGACGCCCGATCCCGGTTCCTGGCGGCCCAGCCGGATGGTCGAGGGAAAACAAAAGGTCCAGGGAAGTCGAAGGAGCAGCCTCATCAAGAGTGGCGCAACGATCGCGAACGCGGAAAGGGCAAGTCGTCTGGGAAGAAGGACAAAGGAAAGAAAAAAGAAGAGGGCTAGGCCCCTGTAGGCGGGGGCCGAACTATGAGAAGGTTGGTGAGGAGGACATTGATTGCACTGAGGTAGCGAGGCGCTACTATGGTCCGGTGCATGGTCGTACAGCCATGGAGTGCCATGGGGCTCCGGCCAGGGGTGTAATACCTGAGGCCGATGAGGTGGCTATGTCAGCCGCCGTTTCTTCGTACAGCTTTCCGCCTGATCCCCCCGCATTTGAAATGACGGGGATGAATGGCGCAGACTCCGCACCGAGCTTTGAGTGTGGAGAAAAAGGGTGGCTCGCATTGGGAGAAGCAAACCAAACTGTTCCGGGGACAGGGTCTTTCTTAGCTCAGAGGTTACTGGAGGTTTTACCACTTCGCAGCAAGTCCACGGGCAGGGAACCAACATCCGCCATGTTGCCCTTGCCCGCCTCCAGAACGGTCCTCACGCAGCTCTGGCCTGATACCCCGGAAGTAGTTTTGTCATGGGTGAGTTGTGTTTGCATGTCGTTGAATTCTTTTTGGGGTGATACACTGCACTCTGACCGGAAGCCTTCGTCGGGACAGCGGAAGGCCCTAGGTTTCATCAAGGAGGATGTCGACAGGTTCTGCAAGCTTAGACTTCCTTTGGAAGGGGTTGACTGGAGCCAGTTCTTCTCGGTTCGGGGAGTAGACTACAAGGGTGATGAGGTCCGGGTTGCAAAACGTATTGGATGGTCCAACATTGCCCCGGCTCTCCCCAAGGAAATAGGAGTGGCGCCGCTCGAGCAGGTGTGCACTCTGGGATGCCGTGAGTACGTCTGCTCCTTCGACAGCTTTCTGAAGCCGCGGGAGCAGTGGGGAAGGATCACACAGCCCAAGGTAATGGTTAGTGACTCCGAGTGGCCCCGGCTGTGCTCAGGGTTGGTTGATGCTGGAGTATGCTGCTACATCGAGGAGGAGATGGTCTTCGATACAGGTCAGGGACCCCTCCTAAACGGACTTTTTGGAGTTTCGAAGGAGGAGTGGACTCCAGACGGGACAGAGATCTGCCGCCTTATTATGAACATGATACCACTCAATTCCCTCTGTGAATCCCTTTCCGGAGACGTGGATAGCCTCCCCTCTTGGGGAATGATGAACCCCTTTTTTCTGCAGCCGGGAGAAAACCTCCTGATTTCATCAGAGGATGTGAAGTGTTTCTTTTACACAATGAAGGTACCAACTGCATGGGTAAAGTTCTTGGCGTTCAACAAGAGGGTACCGGACTCCTGTCTGCCCGACAGCCTCTGCACACAGTCTACTTGGCGTCAAAGGTGTTACCTATGGGGTTCTTGAACTCCGTCAGCCTCGCGCAGAACGTCCACAGGAACTTGGTGCAATGGTCTCGGTTTCAGGGGGTTCAGGTTCATGCGGAGGAGGCCGAACTGAGGAAGGATCGTCCCTTCACTGTTGCTGACCCCGCCTGGAGGGTCTACCTTGACAACTACGATCTCCTCGAGAAGGTAGAGGCCACAGGCATGGTCGCTCTGGAGGGCACGGTGTCGGAGCGGGTGCTTGCTTTGCGTGGGGAGTACCTCAAGTGGGAGGTTCCAAGAAATTAGAAGAAGTCGGTGCGGAGGTCATCGCACTGTGAACTGCAGGGTGCAACCATTGATGGTGTGGCTGGCCGCCAAGTACTATAGCATGGGTCTCAACCTCGCTCACCAGCAGCGGGTGAGTCAGAAGCAGTTGCAGGTGGTGTGTGGTGGACTTGTCTATTTCGCCATGTTCAGGAGACCGGCACTCGGCTCTCTGAACGCAGTTTGGCAGTTCATCGAGTCCTTCAACATTCCTGGACCCGCCTATCGGCCCATGCCACAGGTGTGCCGGCTTGAGATTCTGCGATTCCTGGGTCTGCTCCCTTTGGTCCGAATGAATTTCCGTTTGGATGTCAAAGGGATGGTTACTTGCAGTGATGCTTCAACTAGTGGTGGAGGAGTTTGTTGCTCCAAAGGATTGACTTCAGTTGGGCACATGGCTTCACTAGGTGAGTTGAGGGGCCGGATGGCCAACAGCATTTCGGAGCATTCGGTGCTCTTGATTGGACTTTTCGACGGCATTGGAGCATTGAGAGTTGCGATGGACCTTCAGGAGACTTATGTGTTAGGGTATGTTTCCGTGGAGATGTGCAGCAACGCTCGTCGTGTCGTGGAGTCACACTACCCTGGCGTGGAGCATATCGATGATGTGGCCAACATCTCGGCGGAGGTCGTCCGAGGATGGAGCCTGAGGTATTCCCAGTGCAGCTTGGTGATTATTGGTGCTGGACCACCGTGTCAGGGAGTATCCGGATTAAACAGTGACAGACGTGGTGCGTTGAAGGATGGGCGCTCCTGCCTGTTCGCC